ATTTTTGAAACGGCTAAATTCTGCTCACAAATTAACTGACATTGAATCTGATGAGCTTGCACGGTAAAGGCTATTGTCATGATATCAATAATTGAAAATACTTCCTGTTTTGTCCGCCAGCATTTGACTGCCAAATAGAGAAGGCGATATCTTGAATAAATAAGCAACTCAAGAAGGACACACGAGAAACATGTTTTGCTCGAGTTGGGTGTGGAAACGTGCCAGATCACTTCAACATGTTAGATTGAGTATAAACACTATCTGCTGCAAAAACTAGCCAAGGTTATCTCAAATGTGTTTTAAACAGCACGTTCGCAGTTTTGGAAGGAAGAAATTTGAAGTTATATCTTTATGCGTGGGAGGTGGTACTGAGCAGAACATCTGCATCTTATTATTTGTGCGCAATAATTAAACAAATCCATTTTATCACTTGTTTTTGTCAATTTTCCGAGCCTTGAATATTCGTATTGTGAAGTTATTTTCTGTGACTCATTTTATTGGTTTCTTACACGTTGATTGACACATAGGGATGGGCGATATTTTAACTAAGTAATCTGCTCAAGAACGACATTATGAGAAACATCGTTCCCCAGGCGGGGTGTAAAAACGATAAAAATGATGGTTGCAAAGTTTTTTTGTATACTTATTTCAGCTTTTCAAGTGAAAGGCTTCTGCTCCGCTAGAAAATGTAAAAAGATCTCTTTTAATGAGCAACAAGACGCCTATCATGACAAAGAGCTTGTCGGCCATGTCTTTCACAATTCTGTGAGTTCAAACTCACAGCAGTGCTATCTGAAGTGTATCAACGACTGTCGATGTCTGTCGATAAACTACAAGGTCAAGAACGACATCAAATACTGCGAGTTGAACGAAGGCAGCCATTTTACAAACAAGGACTCTCTGAAAAACATCCACGGAAGCGTTTACTACGTACTGCGGAGAGAATACTCCACTAAAGTACCAAACTTTATTATGTAATAAGGTTTTTTGAACGCGAATGGTTTTCAGTCCTTATCTTGGCATAAAAGTTCATTCTTTTCTTTTAATTTGATATTGAGGAAGCTTCTACCTGACGATAGATTACACAAATCTGAATCATTTCAATTAAAGGCACTATTCTGCAGTGTAAAATGCTTCTTCATCCCGTCAAAACTTTTCTTTCTAATGGATGGTAATGTTATTCCTAAAAGTATTTAAAATAAATTATTTTCTTTTATCTTTTAAACTTAACGTAACTGCTGCCACCTGAAACTTTGGGAAATTTTAATTGATTATTACGAAAAAGCAAAAACTGGAAATGGAACTGAAAGAAATACATATTATATATATATGTGTGTGTGCGTGTGTGTGTGTGTATATTTGTATATATATATATATATATCTGAAAGTTGGACACATCAATGAGACAACTTTTCTGTGACTCTGAGTTTCACGCTTACGCGATCATCAGACGGATTTTGAAGTTTGCAAGTTCCTTTTTTATTCGGGTATTGAAGGTAGAGAGATTTCCTCTTTTAATGGAATCGAAGTTAAAAACTTAAAAAAAAATTATAGAATTTCAGGGACGAAAGAAAAATTCAATCACAGAATTAATCCTGGCAGATACTTTAGCTTCTCACCTGCGTGGATCATTTTTTAACTTTGCACTCGTGTTACAAGAGAATGCCCTCGTTTTCAGCCAATCAGAAACGCGTAGTTATTTTTTCCATATACATTTTTAGGTTCCTACCAACATTGTTCCTTGTGCTGATGACTTCACGTGTACCAATGGCTGCTGTAAGAACAATCCTTGTCTTAATAGAGGAACCTGTACTGAGATCTGTCAACCCACAAGTGTTCGGTACAATTGTTCCTGTCCTGTACCGTTTTTTGGAAAACACTGCGAGATTCAGCAGAAAAGAAGCTGTCAAGATTTCAAAGCAGCCGGGTCCACCGCCTCTGGATTGTATACAGTTAACAATGACAATAATCAAACCTTCCAGGTGTTCTGTGATTTGGATTCAGAGCCTGGGTTCGCTTGGAACCTGATTGAGTCGTTTAGCTTATCCAACAAACATCGTTTTCAGGTATTTGCTTTCTCTTTAAATCCTCTACAAATATCTAATACATGAGCGTAGGACGAAAGCGCATTCAGCGGAAAAATGTGAAATACATTCAGTCTCATGTTGCTTCCATGAGTTTTGTTTCATAAGCGACAGTTTTGACAACGATCGTACACAGTTGACGATGACAATAATCAAACCTTCCAGGTGTTCTGTGATTTTGACTCAGAGCCTGGGTTCGCTTGGAACCTGATTGAGTCCTTTAGTTTATCCAACAGAGATGGTTTTCAGGTATTTACTTTCTCCTTAATCTTCTATAAATATCTAGAACGTGAGCGTAGGACGAAAGCGCATCACCAATTCTACTTCCTCTGCAGGGGGACATCGTGTTTTACGATGACTACCAAGCCATCAGCGGTGATGCCCCAAATTGGCAGGCTTACCTCATCAAACGACCCTACCTCCTTTGGCTCAGAGATCACTCAACTCACTGGAGAGCTACTTGCCGATACAACACAGATGGTACCGTATACACAGATTACCTGAGAGCCTCGCTTGAAGACTTTGACATCATTAAAGACGTACACACGGTGGTAGACACCTGTCGACCTTACGAATATGTCAACATCCGGGGAAATGAGTGTGTGAATTGCACTGCATTCACAGCGTATAAAAAAGGCATTTACTCTCTGCATGTCGACTCTTATTTTACCCATCGGTCCTGCGATTTCGACGCAAGCAAGTCGGCCATAAATGACGAGGACAACTTTGGAATGTACAGTTCTACAAATCCCAAATTCCGTTGCACCTCAAACTCGGATGATACGACTCAGTTCTGGATCGGAGGCAAATAGTACGCTGACTAAAAAACACAGTTTTATAGATGGTGATAAATCTGTTGGTATTTGAGAATTAATAAGAGTGAGCGTGACACTAATGGACTATCCGACTGGGGTCATTTTGTTAGTTTTTAATGTGGAATTCACGTAGGAAAGATTAGATCCGTTGATAAAATGTAGTAAGATAGTTACACTACCACAATTTTTCAAGGTAAACTTTCTAGCAATATAAGCAAACAAGTGAGACAAAAATTACGTAGGTGTTCCAAAATTCATCTGACAATTTATCGATCCTGGATATACCATTATTTATCTTACGGCATTAATGTAAGAGGCCAGGCTGCAAAGACTTATATTAAGAAACCAGTTGTCATCTATCATCGAAGGGGGGAAGGGGGCGGAACATTCTCAGAGGGGATCAGTCGTTACCAACAGAGTATAAAGGGAAGATTCTAGAAAGTTTACAGCGAATTAACTACCAATGAGGAGGATGATTTCTCTTTGGTGGGATCAGGTAAATTTTACTGCGACAACCACGTCCAATACTGTTCCAATAAATATGCTTTATTTTAAATCCATTTCAGTTTTAATGCATGGTAGTTTAAACAAGTTAACCTGATGCAGTATTTCTAATCTTTTTTAGTTTAATGGGAAAGGACGAATACGTTGGCTTACCTACCTTTATCAATTTTCAAAGGATTTGAAAAGTAAATTAACTGTTCATCGCGTGCGTTTTAAAAAAATTGTAAATTTTACAAGCCTCGTGGTTTCATTCAGGTTTCCTCGCCTTGTAGATTTTCGTGTTTAATTTAGCTTATTATACTTCCTTGTTAATTTTCATTGTAGTGTAGCAAATAAATACACGGAAAAATTATGGACAGTCGAACCTGTTTTGAGCGACACCGTATTATGCAGTCACTCTGTATGTTATGCGGGCTCTTGGCGAAATTATCTCCCTTAAACAACGTAATGTTCATCAGTCACCTCTATTGAGTGGTCGTGCTTATCCTCTGCTGAGTCCCCACGGTCTGTTTGTATTGTCTTGGACCTCTATTGAACGGTCAGTTCTGGCGGAACCACTCAAATAAAACTAAAAACAAGCTTTCCGAAATATATTTACTCCATGTTTATCTCCCGAAATCTACGCCAGCAGAATTTTTGAGCGTTGAGTGGTATATTTTGGCATAAATCAGTGTTTTTTTACCGTTATTTGCAATACCCCTATTCTGTGGAACCTGTATTTAGCGTCAACCTGTAGTAAGCGGTCATTCCGCCATTCTCCATGGGTGACCGCTCAATGCAGGTTTGATTGTGCATTCTTAGTCTTCCTCTGCAAACTAAAATCCTAAAATCACCAAAATTAGCGTGGTTCGAGATCGAGAACCCTGATAGATGGCGAATTATTTCCATTTTTATCTGGAACCAAACGCTGTCTGCATATATCTTATGCTGAAGTTGGGGTCTGGTTCCTTTGGAGACGGTTATCACATCAACCCATTCGCTAAATTTCTACGAAAAATTCCTTTTTTTTACTGACGTTTTCGATTCTGGGCGTTGCCTGCCTGAACTATATTTCGTAAAGGCACGACGGGAAGGTGACCAAATGCAACCATTTTTGGTAAGAGCATTCCGGAAAAATTGTAAAAACAATTGCCTCTACCAGCTCGTAAATCAGCGAAATTGAAATCTTCGTAAATGAAAATCATGTCAACTGGATTCTCCTTTATTGATTATGTGATTGGCAATGATCACCAGCTAAAAAACAAGTCGCTTTGACGATCACACTGGTACACTTTTCGAAAAGGGTCAGAAAACTGTTTATTCTGGCGTTCACTTAACAGTAATCTCCTACGTGAATAATGCTTGCGTGACAAGCCGAGAGAGCCCTGAGAACTAAATATTAGATTAAAAAAAGTACTTCCTTTCCGCGAAAACTACCAACTTTCAGGAGCCGCGAAATATTGGGTATTCTAATTCATCTTTACTCGAGGTTCCGATCTTCAGGTAGGGGTGACCGATATTTATGGTAAAATGTATTTGAACTAGTGTTTCAGTTTCGGATCATAAAATATAATCATCACATTGTGGGTGACACTGACAGATCGTATTTTTTCGTATTTTTCGCCATTAGATTGCTCGAGATGTCGGAAAACGATCGCTTAATTACTGAAGCAAGGGGAATTCAACACACTCGAATAGCAGTAGAAGATGTTGGTCGGGCTGTCCGAGTTCGAAATACAATGTATGCTTATTCAAATCACTTCATTACGCAGAGCCGACCGTACTTTCGACGACAGCTACCGACTTACATCGACTGTGTATGCTTTCTGTGGTTAACGTGGGCGATGTTTTGGGCGTCTTGGCTTGGTGCCTTGGCCGACAAAGGAGGTTATTACAAAGGTGCACCATTTTACTGTTTCTTTGTTTGCGCAATTTTCATTGGAATCTTCTGCCAGCACGAGATTGTCAACAGAAAATCGCTTCGGATTGTCTTGACACAGCCTGTTCTCGACGGGCAACAGAAGTTAAACGCGCTGTACGAAGTGACAGTCACAGAATTGCAAGGAATGGCTCTACAGAATTACCAGGCGGGAATTGGGTTCGTCCATGTATCGGAAGGAAAAGTAAAATTCCAAGCCTTTAATCGCAAAGCTGAGCAGGCGATGATCTGTGCAAGGAAGACATCACGATGCATGCTAATTCTTTTCCTCGGCTCTGCTTGTTTTAATTTTTATTTTATGATGACTTCCTCGCTGGGTCTTGCGTTTTCAAGAGAATGATCAGAATACGGTAAATTGAGTACTTTCAAAATGATATTTTGGTATACAAATCACTTTGTTACCCTTGAAACGTTATACTTCGGTGAGAAAACTTTATACTTGTAGATGATGTAAAGCAGTGTTGCGTTATATGTCACTTGGTTTGTCACGCGATGCCCGCTCTTTTTCACGCGGCTCACCTTTATGCTGTGTTACATTGAGAGGGCCAGGCTCGAATAATTTGGATGTTTTGGTTACTACTAGATAAAATACGCGTACGAAGAATTCAGAGTGGGGGGATGGTGGCATAAGGAGAGTCTACAACTCCAATTTTCTCAGTCCATGACCTTTTCCTGATCAATCGCTTTTGCAAGCATCACGTGATGTCCCGTGACAGAAATGTTTTCGCTGTGACTAAGGAGAGTTCATCGTTGACTTGTCTTTTTATTTCTCAGTACAATTTTTTAGTCCAATTGTATTTCTTTCCCTTTATTAATCATTTATTAGAAAAATGCGTTCGATTTCTAGTAAAACAGTAATTTTGATTGTACTGATTGCCCAGAAATAGTCAGGGAAAGAGGACTTGTGATGTGCTCAGTTTCAGGCTGTGTCATGAACCTTATCGCAAGGAACCAAAAGTAAGAATAGGCAGACTTTTTATCTGATTGGTCGAGATAGTCAAGCGCCCAATCACAGAACGGGGAAAATCAATACTAAAGCAATCCAGATGAACTTTCGACAGTGAATTGAGAAACCTTTAATACACAGTTTGAAAAAAAAATTATTTGAGAGTAGACACCCATGTGAACTGTAACTTATTTACAAATATTTATATTAGAAAATCTTCAAGAGATTTTACATGCAAAGTAGACGATGCCCCAAAGATAGGTCAGCTATGGGTCACGCACACTTAAATGATTTAAAGGCGATTTCTTTCCGCGCATAAAAATCAAAGTGTCACTTCGGGAAAAGATTTCGAACAAGTTTGCACGAATAACATGGGGGTGAAGAAAGTCGAAAAAGTATTGGAACTTCTGGAAGTCGTGCGTCGATATGAGTATGATTTACTGAGTTACTGATACAAGCCAATCAGTAGATCAGTTTGAAGAGCCTGCTGTTTAGTGACAATATGAAACTTAACGATCAGCTTCGATTCCTTACTTCTCGACGGTTTTGTTTGAACTGATAACAATCAAAAACGTTTTCTCAAAACTCGAGCAAATGTCCTATCTTTTCGAGTCGCATCAGTTCCTTCGCTGATGCCATCCCTTCGTTTGGGATGCGAGTTTCTCTCTACACGTGCCTCTTGTTTCCCATGTCGACGTACTATTACCGGCCGCACAACTGAACGCTGATCTTCGTTCAGCGTTTTTAACTGCCGGGAAAGGCTTACCGCTGCTTCTCTGGCACCTTCTTGTATTGGTGTCAACTTTGTTTGTCTGGGGGACCCTTTCGCTTCTCTCGGTGTTGGGATCATTTCTTGGTGTTGTGGTTTTTTCTGTTCCACATAAACATACTCTTTTCCAACTCGACGTCTGCCTTGCCTAAGCTCACCCGTATCAAACTGGCCCCTGGAGGAGTAACTTGTGCTGGGTACTTGACTTAACTGGCGTTTGGAATAACGCTCCGAGGTATCTGCCTGCTTCATATGTAGATAGACTCGCGCTTGATAGTGTGAGAAGGAAACCTCCGTGTTCCTTAGCCTTTCTTGGGGCACCACGTTTCTATAAATTCTTTTTTCTTCTTTAGGTTTTGAAGTCATTTCAGGAGACGTTGGTCTGTTAAGCATTTGATCCTTGCGTGGAAAGGAAATTTGCGCCGTTCCTAGAATATTATTACGACAATGATATCGCGAGAAACGCAGCATAGCCTTATTGTCAACCTGTGTTGGGGAATTCGTCTGCTTTAGGTCGTAGCATGGTTCTGAACGATCAGTTAAACCCCACATGGCCTCTCTACTCTTCTTGAAAGTTTGGCATAACTCAAGCATGGAAGGAAGTTCTTGACGGCCTTTCATATTTGTGACAAACTGAGCATGGAATAGTTACATAATAACCATATGACGATGTGGTGGGACACTCGCTTAACCGCCTAATTAACGATGTCGGCGTCAGCTTCAGACAGTTATAGGAAAAAAATATTCTTCTTTTCTTTGTCTCCTGTTATTATCATTCAATTCAGTCATTTGGCGAAATACTGAAATAGTAATAAAAAAATAAGGACCACTGAAGTAAAAAATGAGCTGAAGCAAGGATTAGAGAACATCAACTATTTGAAAAAAGGTCTCGACTAAAAAACATTTCCCTTTTATTTTGGCTTTTTTTCTCTACTTTAAGGGGCGCATCGCATTGCACAGTGCCATGAAAAACAGGAAAAGATTTGTCTAATTGCCGTTATTTTTGTTTCTAGACAAAAATGCGACAAAAACAACGTTGTCGGCCCGTTCGACGATTTCATGTCGGTCTCCTAAACAAACTGTGACGCACCACAGGTAGCCCATTCTCTGAATACGCACTTGCGTACTGTGCTGTAATGTTTGTTCTTACCTAACAGTTGAAATTAAGAAATTTAAAAAAAGTATGAAGAGGTAAAAGCAGACGAACTTAAGTCTCCTTCTATTGCTTGAAATCAACCCAAAAACCACACCGAAGACAATAAAACTCAATATTGGAGCGAGTCAAGGGATGTTTAAATACAATCTGGCTGATGTTCTTACTGTTATGTAATAACTTGAAGATCGGACTGTTTCTCGTATATTGAGTTTGGTTTGCCTGTGAACTTTTCGCTCTGTGTCTTGTTTTATTCCAGTTTCTAAGCAATAACGGAATAAACAATGGCAAATAAGGTTAAAAGCTGTTAGATTCGGGAACGCCTTTCTTTCATCGCATCAATTTTTTTTTCTTAATTACCATCAATTTCAGTTTCTTTTTCGCGATGAAAAACACAAAGTTATTGATTGATGGATTCCTGATCATGAACATCTCTCTCAATTTTCAACCTTAAATTTACCAGAGAGTACAAGGTCGTACCAATCAAAGTATGTTTTCAATAGCAGTTAGCTTTTTTTGAGTTATTTTTTATTTATGTAAAAAAAAAAAAAGAAGAAATTATGTGAGCTTGTAGGCTGGTACTTTGGTCGCACCAATCAGATCGCCGCATCAGGGTACGCATCTCGCACCAATCATATCACAGCATTTGGATATCCTGCACCAATCACAGCGTATGGGTATTGCTTTCTTTCAAATGATGTCATGAAATCAGAGGCTGTGCACAAAGGATTTTGGGCTCTTCTGATGAGCGTAACGGTTTGTGGCCTTTGCGAGAGTCTCGTCAATTAAGGTCAAGATTTATCGGGATATGAAAGTTAAAACCTGTTCAGTTTCCACTCCCTTACTCACACAGCACACGCCAAACAACTTACATTCCACTCGTACCATGAAGTTCAATCAGAACATACCCAATCATCGCACTGCTTGAACATTAGACAATTTTCACGTGCTTGAAATTTATTTCACCAATCAAATTTCATTTTGCCAGCTAATTGTAGACGAATAATTTTGATTTTTTCTCTGTTAGTGGAATGGTAGTTGGCGTAGTGGTTTTCGCAACCGATATTTCGTCCCGTCACGCAATGCACTCTCTCTCCAACGGGAAATGGATTTTATTTTTACTAATAAGTATTTAGACAATAGAGACAATAGACCCTGAAATACCTTTGTGAGTTCAGATAAATTAGGTTTTTTTTTTCTTTCTCCTAAGATGGAGTAATGCGATAATTTCGTTCTTATAAAAGTTATGCTCTTTTCCTGCTACAAAAATGAAACAAAGTGTCCCATCTTAACCCAGCCAAAAAAGGTAACTCTTGGATGCTACGCATGCCGATGTTTTCTATTGCTAGGCGACAATTAATAGATAACTTCCTGTATAATAAGGGTCTTAATGGACCTTGGTTAACCTTAACTCTATGTGGTTAACAGTGAAAGAACATAGCGGTAAGGGATAAAAATTGGCAAATCTTAACCGTTAGTCGTGAAAAAAAGTTTATCGCAAAATTTTTTCTGTTAACGGAAAGAAATTAGCCTTTAGCCATAAACTTGCCAAATTTTTACCCGTTGGCCGTAAAAGCCACCATCCCTCTGAGAGCCTCTATGGTACGCCATAAAATATATTTTTGATAATTTTCAGGTGGCTTTGAATCATGTTTATAGATTTTTCAAAGCGAAACAGAAAGGCGCAGGCAAACACGTTTCCCCTAAGACATTTCATGAGAAAGTACATTAACACACAGGTAAAAAACACCCATGTACACTCACTATTACTGGGATCAAGTCAGGATGGTACTGAACAAAGCAATATTTGTATACAGCCCTAGGATATAGGATTTTGGATGAAATCTTGCGAATAGAGAGAAGGAGGTGGTTCCAAATAACAAAAATAACAGTGATGGTAAAGCAAGCTAAAACGGCAGAAATCGCCAGAAACTACAACGGACAGACGAGATTTAAGCAAGTTTTATTGATTTACTTGTAAAATATTGATATTTCAAAATATTTATCGTTGTAAATCGACCATATTTCGTTCCCCATATTATTCCTTATATATTATAACGTGTTCAAATTTTCAACCGAGTCACACATGAATTAATCGTTGACTTTTTCTCGAAACGTGAGCTTGGGCCGCCTGTGACGTAATCGATATGATCACGCCAGGCCACGCCAGGAGTAAGGGAATATCAATTAAACTTCCTAAAAGTTTGATACTAGAAGCTTGCTCTAAAATCTGATCAGCGAGTATAAGTCATAGTTTACTTTCGGTCGATGTTGAGGGGCACTTGGACACACTTAGGTATTTGGATTCCTTCGTAGAAACTAGTCTTTACTACGTCATTACGGGGCAATTCAAGCAACTGGTGGTAGGCTTAGCTTTGAAATGTACAATCGGTTCGAGCATACAGATAGCGGGCTGTAAGATATCTTTGAAAAAAGTTCCTCCCCATCAAAATTTTTGGATAGTAATGGCTTTTGAAGGCCCCCAGCCATCAGCCTAGGCTGAAAAACTATCTGAAAGAAAGATTCCATATGAATGGTGGTCGGCGATGTAATGGCGCTTTTCAAATGATTCGATAGGCTGGTCACATCTCTCAATTTCCCAGGAGTCATTCTTGTAGCCAAAGAGTTGCATAAGAATGTGGTTACAGTTTTAAAATAATTTGCAGGGTTCTGTGGTAGCTAAAGCGCGTTGTTAAGCGTGCCTGACGTCACATCCGGTATTTATTTATTTATTAGCGATATTTGTGCAGACGGGCCAAGTTCAGCTTAAACTTGTTTGAATGGGCGCCGGTTTTGGGGATTTCCGGTCGTGAAAGTTGTGCTGAATGAGAACACGCGACTGCGTGTCCTCATTCTGTTTTATATGCGATTAGTGACTAATTGATTACTTAATTTTACAGCATGTTATTGTGTAAAGAGAGTGACCTGCGATTGAGGAATGAGCACATGTTCCAATATGTATCTCTTTTTACTAATCCTGAAATGAGGTTAGCACAAACAAACGCCTACGTTTGATGACGAATGAGGAAAGGGAACTGCTGCGGTTCTCACATCGCTTACGGCAATTATAGTTTTATCCGCGTGATTAAGAAATCACGTTTTTTTTCTCTATCGTTTGTATTGCTTGTCTCACTCATGTTCTGACCAAGCGTCTGCTATGCATTTGTTCAATTGCTAAAACTGCATAACATCAGTACGAAATGATGGAAAATTGGTCGTGAAATTATTCGTAACTGACGTTAGATGAGCAGGTCATTATAACTGCGGTTCCGAGGTCACGTATCCGTTATGCTGTACTTTGTCCTTGTACCACGTGGTTCCTGTTTTTCACGTACGCTTCACATGATTGAACGTGATCCACCTAACGTGAGCATGCGTAGAGCATTGTTGTTATGACAACAACGGCCCGGGGATCTCAGAATAACAAGGATAATGGCGGACATACACACGATTTCTGTGGTCGGTCTCCTTAAAGATGCCGAATTTCACATGATTAAAGGAGCTGCAGAGGTATTATTGAGATTAAATGAGAATTTTTATGAAGGTTTTCAATAATAAAAGTATAATGCTCATGTATGATGTACTTTTTCATTTTATCACAACAGCAACTTAGCCAGAGGGAACCCGATGTTTTCACCGAGCCTTACGTCCTGGGTTTGTTGGAGTGTGATTGGGATACGTTCATTCGAGATAAGAAGAAGGTAGGATAGAAAGAAGCAATTATGAATCTATTTAAATTAATGAACTGAAGATCTAGGGAAGACACCGAGATCACTCAGAAAAAATTGATTTCTCATGTAAGCTTGTTGTTTGGCGTCAATTGAAAAGTACGCTAACCTTATAAAAATTTCCAGCGTGACCTGTCGTTTATAAATAAATCAAAATTTCGAAGCTTTCAGGTACGCTAGTGCCTTATTTTAAACCTCTTGAGTGTTTGGAAAGTATTATGGAAGAAACCAGTCTTGCAAGATTAGTTGATTTTGTTATGCATCTCAAATAACCATGTTAGGTACAAGAGTACATTGTTTGTTGCATTTGTGATAAGACTTAACGTGTTCCAACCAAGAACAATTCATTAAGCTTACTTAATGTAAGCATAAACCAGCGTGTTTGGTTAATATTTTTTATTTTTGGGTCGAATGATTTTGATGAATGGTTCTCCAATTCATTTTCCAAACACATGGCATTCGTCACTCATGAGTTCCTTTGAACAAAAACGATAAAGAGAGCAATTATTTTTTTTAAAAGCGATAACCTAAGATTTTATGGTTGGTTAGCGGAGTATGATTTGAAAGAAGTTTTCATCTGGTCAAAATTCACGTGATAGAGTTGAGACAAGCAGAGGCAAAATTCCATATTTCATTCCGAAACATAAGTTTCAGATGATAGGAAATACCATCGCTTAGTTTTCCCATTTAAATTGTACCATTTCCTTTCGTTTTGATAAATATGTGTATTTTTGAATAAGAACTTGTTCCAATTAGGTGAAAACATAATGTATCATGAGGTTTGTGCTTAGGTTACAAAGAAAGCCAAAAATCATAAATCCTGTCAATTGGAGGATTCATCTTATAAGAGATGTAAAAAGTTCAATAGGTTTTCCCAGGATTGATTGTTTTCTCCATAAATGGTAACTGATTTACTTCTTTATGGTGTTTGATATTTCAAGTATTTTTTTTGGACTCTATATGCAAGACCAGTATTTTAGCAGGAAAAAATTTTTCAAACTGTTGATTTGGACATTTCTGTTCTGTTAGCAAAAGGGATCCCCTTTTAACTGTTCATATGGGATGCTTGGGTGTAAAGCCCTGTTCAAACAGTTGCTTTAGTTGATGATAGTTTCAACTATAATGTGCGTTTGAACATGAACTATCATCAACTATCATGTAGTTCAAATTTGACATGATAGTTGATGATAGTTTTAGCTGTTTGATTGAGTGGATTGATGTGAATTGGTAGGTTTTTGTTCAGCAAATTTTTTCAATGATTAAAGTAGCCATCAACACTTGGCAGAATGTCTCCTAGTTCACTCTTACTATCTCCTGGTAGGCTTGAGTATCTTTAACTTGCAACTTCTTGAGTAAAATCTCAAATGCTACCAAAATTGCTGACCTCAGGGCTTGCCATATTTGCATGATTTTGTCAACTAGCATCAACTTTCATGAATCGTTTGAATGCAAACATGATAGTCAATGATAATAAATGATAGTTGAAACTATAATCAACCATTATGACCATTTAAACCCAGCTTAAGATCAACAATGTAAAGGTTTTATTCCTGCTGACCTGTTTTGATTGTTTATAAAATTATGAGAACATTTTCAGGTTCCATGCTCTTGATTTGAAAATGAAGATCATGGTATTTGGGCTGAAGAAAATGGTGGAAGTTAGGATCTCAGAAATAAAGCATCTTGTTTGAGGAGGCCCCTAAATCTGTCTAAAGTATTTAAATGGAAAATTTAGCTTTCTGAAACAAAAATAATACAATAATAAGAACTTTATTTATATAGCGCTTGTATTCTCTGCTCAAGGCACTTTACAATCATACAAAATCATACATTATTGATAAAAATTTACAAATTTACAACCATATCCTACTTTATGATACTTAAACATAGCTAAAATTCATATACTGACTAAAAAAGAAAAAGAAAACTAAAGCCAGCCATATCTTCTTACAACTCATGTGCTTTTTGCTTCCTTTTTTCTTGCTTTTACTCGATACAGGGGCACTCAAATTGAATGTAGGTCTCTTTTTCTGAATCTGCTCTGTTTCTTTCATTGCTTAATTGAAAACTACTCATTTATTTTTTTTTTTTTCATTGTGATGTAATGCTCTCCAGTCAATCTACATTCTAGCATCAGAAATTATTAATTCTACAAATGGAAGATAAATGGAAATTGCTGTCTCTCTTGCTAGGAAATGAGAAAAGAAGTTTGGGGCTTTCAAGAAAATGTCATTGTGTTTTTCGATGAAGAGTTGATTGGAGGACCTGACGATTTTATAAAATGGGCCTTGGATACCCATGGATATAGAGAGTTCAGGTTTGTTATTTGAAAATATGTTGGTATCCCTTGTGTTTATTCTGTCATTAATCTTCGGTTTAACTAGACCTGGGATAACATAAAAATGTATTGCTTTTCATTTAATTTTAAGGGTAACTGTATGTTCTTTTACATTTAGCCAAATTACTGCAAGAAAGAATTTTTTCAGTGTGATATTTATTTTGTCTTTTTTTTTGCTAGGCCTCTTCCTTTATGGCATGCCATGGCTAAAGAAGCATACAAGGACCATCTACTTGCCACCAAGGTAACGTTGTGCATATTTATCTAAAGCTTTGATCACTCAAAACTTCAATTACTCATAAAATTTTGCTTTGACTGTATTCTTTTAGCATCAGTTTGTTTACTTGGACATAGCAGTGGGCCACCAAAAGATTGGACGACTGTTGATTGAGGTATCTGCATAGATATATCATCCAGATTTCTATTTTTTTGTTTGTCTGAAGTTTTTCCTGTCCAAGAGAGTTTCACATACATGCTCAGCGAGGAGGTATACTTGCTGCTCACAGGAAGAAGATTAGTTTCTTTATAACCTGGAACTTGTTTCACAAAAGTCCTACTAGTTACTGGTTCTGAGAAAGGAGATATTTGTTTGTAGTGTTTACATTCAAGGTTGAGATATGGATACCTCTGAAATTTAAACTATAAAGATATCAGCAAATGAAACAGAGTAAGACGTACTCTTGTATTTCTTAATTTGAGAATTTGGAAGATGTCTCCCAGCCCTTAAGCTCATATCTATCAAAAGGAAAAAGTGGGCTATTAATTAGGATGTGCCTGTGGGAGAGAGAGAGTTGAATAAAGTACAGACACAGCTTACATAGGGACAAGCAGAACAAAGACATATTATGAGCCCTTAATTCTAATGTACAGTTCCTTTTCAACAGTTGTTCTCTGAAAGACTACCTAGGACATGCGACAATTTTCGCGAGTTGTGTGTAGGAAGTCAGACGGAATCAGTGCGGCATGATCCTCCTCTGAAGCTGTGGTACAAGAACTCAATATTACACAGAATAGTTCCTAATGGCTGGATACAAGGCGGAGGTAATTGCAATAGAGCACATTTTACACTGTATGATAGTAATAGTAGGTACTAGAATGAGATACTCTTTAGTATATCGCAATATTCCATGTAATTATGTTTATTTTTATGAACTGTGAACTCAAAGCTTGCATAGAAATTTCTGTTGAGCAGAAGCTTTAGAGAGTGAGTGGCTGAATCAGGTGGTAACTTAAGATCAAATACTGTGAACTTTGAGGAATTGACAGCCTTAGGAAAAGCCATCAAAATAAAGAGAAGACTTATCTTTCAGTCAAATGTTTCTTGTCTAGTTTGTGAAACTGACCAGTCAACTTGCATAGATGTTGGTTGTAAGACTTCTCTAGCTTAAACTGATTATTGAAGAAGAAAGTTTTCCAAGAAATTGCTTGTGCCTTAGTTGATTTTCCATTGCTTTCAACTTTTCCGCTGTGCATTTTAAAACTCAGGGACACCTGCGTGCACCCTATTGCATCAAATCCTTGAAACTTTCTCCAATCTTTCTGGCTTTGGTATTCTGTTTGAAGTTCTACTACATTGTAGATTATTGCGTTAGACCAATTAGTTATTCAGCACTGGCTGAAAGTTTTAAAACGTTTGATCCAGAATGCAGCTCCCCGAAGGTTCTCTTGGCCTTTCATAATTCAACTACGGCCAGAAGTTCTATTTACGTCTGAAAGCATTCAGATTGTTTGTGCACCTAATTGAAAATCATTTTCTGTAGGAGTGTTGAGGAAAGATAACAATATTTATTTTGTGTTCTAGATATAGAAGGAGGAAAAGGAACCGGAGGAGAGTCAATATATGGGCCTCTTTTTGAAGGTAATTGTAGGGGGGTCGTGTTAGTGACGTAGGAAACTTTTTCACAACATATTAAGACTAAAATAAAAGTTTTTAGGGGTGGAGAAACATAAAAGAATATGGAATATACCAAATAGGATCGAAGATGGGTAAGAATGAAGATGATCGAAACGGATTATCCCATTAACAACTTAGTGAGAATAATAGCCATTTTATTGATTTCTTTAAGACGAAGAAGGGGAGGAGAGTGTGTAACGCAGGCTATACGCTTACACTTAACAAAGGTTTGTCTCGTCATGCAATGTCAATCGACCAGTTAGAATGCTGCGTTCGTGTATACACACAGGAAATTCGAAATTCAATTTCTTGTGAAGAGGCACTCCTTGAGAGGCTCTCGCTGGTTCCCAACTCACTCGTGTGAAAGGACACGCAAAATCCACACATATGAGCCTGCTCGCTTGCTGTGAAGAAGGCAGTAAGAAGTCTTATAGGCGGCGGTGGACCGCTGGTAACAGTCTTGTTGTGAAACCCCTGCCTTATAGACATTCTTGTCTGTACATAGTTCTGTTTTTTGATACCCTTCCTTTATTTGTTGTCGTTTCTAGATGAGGACTTTTCCATACCGCATGGAAAGAGAGGTATTGTGGGTATGGCCAACAGGGGCCGGCATACAAATGGATCTCAGTTCTTTATCACGTTACAGCCCGCTCCTTGGATGGACACGAAATATGTTGCTTTCGGGTAAGAATCATAGCTCTATGTATTAAAACATGGAAAATCACTGCCCTTTTGCTTTTGTTAAATATTTCTAAAAAAAAAAAAATCAGAAAAATGAAAGCGTGACCTTGCAACCGCGTTACCAGACTCTTATCTAACCACACCTATCAACGAATGAGAGAGCGCTTTATGTATTAGATATCCTATAAATTGAACTCTAGAAGTCTGCATTTACTCTGTACTTTGGATTTCTAATGATAGAAGTCAAATGAAAATGAACAGTTTAAGTTAGCTGGGTAAAACTAACTTTGGGCCGCCGCTCTTATTCGTAGACAAGTAATTGAGGGTACAAGAGTTCTTGACGAACTGGAAAAACAAGAGACGTTCAACGAACGGCCCAAGTCCACCTGTGTAATTGTGGATTGTGGAATATTCGATGTGGAACGCCTTTGGGACACCTCTAGATAGATAATTTACTTTGAAATCAAAGCAATCCTTAATTCACTCTGAATCACTTACAGCTGCTAGAAAAAGGCAGCTGCACAGATTACTTAGCTACATTAGTTCAGAGGTTGTTAGTGCAACAAAATTTCCAACAGAGTCATTATTTTGAAAGCAAAGGAACACGTGTTATTTAATTTTCATGAAATTCGAGCCTAGCACCTTATGGAAACCTTAATGTGCAATTTGGAATGTTAATGACTTGCACTGAATCTTTTCCTATTTTTCTGTTGCGTGTTTATAGGGATTACTGTAGGCAAAATTACTCAATGAGAAGTCGACTGAAAACAACGTAGTCAACAGGTTATTACACATCATGCGACAACAATCGATTCTAATTATTTGTGTACTTGATATACATTTTTGAAGTGAAATTGTGAGTTATTTAAAGGGAACCGCGCGTACATATAGTTTGCCAAAGGCGAGTATGAAAAAAGGAAAATGTAATTTTTTTACGAAACTGTAACTTTTATTATAATTCATCTTCCTGTACTTTTTCACGGTCATTTCAAGAGGTTTCAATTGCAGAGAGGAATGAAAGATGTCTTTCTTACTTGTATTGTATTATAGTAACCCAACTATATGATTTTAACTGATGCAGAATTATGTTTTGAAAGATTACGAATAAAGATCACTCTTGGACAGAAATACGTGTCAGCGAGTATCTATAAAAGTGGGAGGAGAGGTAAAGCAACTATGTTTCAAGTTAATTATACCTATGGATCGTTTTTCATCTAATTGGTTACCAGCTATGCGCAAACCTTTTGGAAAAAAAAAAAAAGAGAGAATTTACATGAGGAAAAAGTGCAAATCCCACAGCATTGAGTTGACGCACCAACATGGCCGCCATTTTATTGAATGCGTATTCGAAATTTTCGCTCGCATCCCTGCGGGCTGAAGGACTTGGCTTGGTTCACAACGTGGAATCAGGGCGTGTCACGTCAGGGAAAGGTTATTGGGAAACTCACGGGCGGAACAGGAGTGAGGGAAATTAAAACTCTCTGTGTTGGAGAAACACACCGAGCAAATTGTCGCCGGTCATGAAAGACATTGAACCAGTGAATCTCGATTTGACACCTTTCAAAGAACCTCAAGGGATTCGAGATTATCATGTCTCCCGCCCGCTCGGTGACTCTTTAGACTCGCCGAACCATCCGCTTTGAGGCGATGTGAGCCCGCGCTCTTACCCTGAAAGTTGAAAAT